CCGGTTGGCTGTATGAAGAAAAAAAAAAATTTAAGACTCTCTAAACATGTAAGAAGTTCAGCCCTGGAGTCTGAGTCACAAGCATCTTTGCAATTCTGCTTCTGAGATTAAAGCATAGCTTCCTTTGTTCTTATTCTGTAAATGACTCCCCTTTCACCTACTGGTCTCTGTTGCAAACTAACTGCCTCTTTTATTGTCCTGCACCCAACTAGACCACATGGTGTCCAGGACACCTGTCACATCTTCAGGGTGGACTATTAAATGCACCTTTCCTGAAAGAAAAGGAACACTTCAACTAATCTTATTATTGCAACTGTGCATTAAGGCTTACACAGAAAGATGTTAAAATTCTGTTAAATGTTCCTGGGTTTTGTCTATACATGCATAAGCAATCTCAAAGTTCTGTATTTTGGAACACTGACTTCCATTCTTTAGAATCTCTGCTTCCTGGACAGCTGTCCTCAACTTTGCATTGAGTTTAGTTTCATTGAAGGCTCTTCTTTCATCTGTAATTTTTATTTTGAAGGAGAGTACTGCTTTCTTTTGAGACATTGTAGAAGCCATGCTGTGATTAAAAAATAATAGATAAAGGACTATACTTTTATTATGGTAATTGACAGGAAAATAGAGTAAAGTTTGGGTCCTTCCACATCTGGCTGCTGGTGCAGGGTGACGTGGAGGCTGATTATAAAGCTGGCAGGTGATGCTGAGGTGCCACCAAGGTGTGGAAGTGCCTTAGTAATCAAATAAGAATGCTCACCTAACTCCTAAACGACATTAAATGCCTAATGTTGCAATGGTAGGTTGAAATATTATAGATAGTTGGTGCCACACCAAGTCACTGAAAGCAAATGTGATGTCTAATAGTGTCAGTTCAGCTGTCTGGGCTTGGAAGGCAACACACTGGAAGATGCACATTGCTTAAAACTAAAGCCATGTGTGTACAAATCTCCAGCCCTATGCATGTTTATTTTACATGACATTGTGACACGTTGTCATCTGTAAGGTTCATGTTTGAGAACTATGCAATTGAGTTCCACAAAAAAACTTAAAAAACTTTTTTGTAATATTTTATGCTTTTATTGTTGGGCATCCTTAGCCTGCTGGGCTGCATGTGGCCTGTGGGCCATGTGTTGGATGTCCCAGTTTAGGTGCTCAACACATCTGAATTAGCTCGCTGTAATAAGAATTTCTTCTTTTCTTCCTTTTGCTCCATATTTAATTTAATTTACTTTAGAAGCAGCACTTTGCCTGCTTCCATATGCTGCAGCTGTCACACTGAGGAGCAGGTACCCCAAGTCTGCACTATTAGGGAAGCCATACAACCGTCCACTGAGGGACCTGTGTGGGAGCTGACAAGGGACAGTTCCCAAAGCCCTTCCTTGCTGCAGAGTTCTGCCTCTATAAGGGAAGAGTCTGAGACCAAAGTCAGGCTCAGCTGACCAAGAGGCAGAGCCAGAATCCAGTGCACTGAGCTGGTCTGTCACATGGACCAGTAAACTCTTTTTCTGTTAAAGCCAATCTAGACTCTTATTTTCTGACATGTGCAATTAAAAGCATAGTAAATAATACGTAAAGATTATCCCCTCAAAAGACTTTCTACTTGGAATTCTCAATCGGGCAGTACTAGATAGTCAACTAGGCAGATTCCTCAGTGGAGAGTTAGCTGCTAGTAAACGCCCTTGACCAACGGCTTACTGTGCAAATACAGCAGCGGAGGGGCAGGACAAATGCAGCCCTGGCCTGTGCACCACCCTCTTGCTGAGAACTGCCTGTCGACAAGGCTGGTCACAGGATGTCTTCAGTGTGTCAGCAGAACTACAGAAAGTATCACAGATTCTATTAAACTTCTGATAAACTGTATTGCCAGGTCACAGTTATGTGCAATAATTTGTCAGAAAATATATAAATAAAAAATTTAGATATTAGCCTCAATTCCTGTCCTCAGCCTCTAATAATGGCTCACCCACTTTTCCTCAGCTATGTCACAGGCACAGAGTACAAACGCTGATATCATATTCTATCACATCACTGAAGTTACAAAGATACGGGTCATTACTAAGGAAGCCTCTTAAACCTTAAATCATAGTTTGCATCCAAAAAAAAAAAAAAGTTTTAAGTCTCTTGAAGTCCAAGATCAAGCCAATTTTCTATAAATATTTGATTTTTTCCTCTAAGGGAAGGGTGGCTGCCAAGTTTCAAGCTAAGATACTCACAGATGTAAGGTTTTCTTTAAAACCCAATTAAAATGTTTGAAATTTTCCATAGTAAGACAATTTTATAAGTATTAAAAAGGGTTTATAGGCTCGGTGTCCACAGCACAGTGCTTACGGCGCCGGCCACGTACATCAAGGCTGGTAGGTTCAAATCAAGCCTGGGCCAGCTAAACAACAACGACAATCGCAACAAAAAATTAGCTGGGCATTGTGGTGGGCACCTGTAGTCCCAGCTATTTGGGAGGCTAAGGCAAGAGAATCGCTTAAGTCCAAGAGTTTGAGGTTCCTATGAGCTGTGACGCCACAGCACTCTACCGAGGGCGACACAATGAGACTCTGTCTCAAAAAAAAAAAAAAAAAGGTTTATAAAATATAGGGAAGGAAACTTTTACTTTGGAAATTTCAAAAACTAAGACCTGGAAGTAATTTTACCTATTGATTATATATCAACAAACTCAGGGCTAAGGCCACTGGGAGCAAAAAGTGACATGAGAATCCCACCTGCAGCAGACTACAACCCAAATTGGGGGCTGACTACATTGTGTCCAATCTAGACCTTCACCAAGGGCCAGAGCTCAGGATTCCCAAATTAGTACCTCTATCATTATTTTCTTCAATAGACTCAATTATGAAAGGAGTACCTATGGGAGGAGCAAGCTTAGTAAATTTGCTTTTCCAAATTTCCATTAATTATATGTTAATCAAATTATTAAAGCACATAATTTATGTGAAAAAGAGGCTAATTTACTAAACTAGTAAAATCCCATCCAAAAATAAACTAGAATATTGCTCAGGATATATTTAGAATTCATTAAATTTTAGCCAAAAACTAAAGGAACTGTAATCTTTCAAGAAGCTCTGATATGTTGACTTTAGCTACTTTTATTAATAAAATATTATTTTGAACACTGTCAAAAACTTATGATCTTTGTTTTTTAAGTCAACTCTTGTCTTTCTATGGGTTCAATTACTCTCTCCTAAGAAGATAACGCCTGTCCGTTCTCAAAATCAAAACCTGGGTTTCTGGTGAGATCATTAACTTTCCTACTCCAGACTTTAAACCTAACTGACCACTGAAATGTCAACAAGTTGTGTGGCCTGTGCGTCCGAGCCCAGTCTGTGGATGGAGGGCAGAGAGTGAGAAGTGAGGAGAAGCCCCCTTTGGGGTAAGAAAATCCTTCATTTATGTCTCCTTTACCTCATCCTCAACTGAAGAGTTGTCTCGGCTCACACATGATCACACGTGCTGCTCTGGTCTGATCATTTGGTGTAAAACACGATTCTTTCTAAAGAAAGTTTAAAAATTCAACGTGTCTAGGTCTTAAACTTCAGAGAATCATGTCTTTTTAGGGGGCTGCTGGCAAATAAGCCAACGTGCTCATTGGCTGTTACGGCAGTGACACAAGCATCGGCTGAGGGACTCATGGACTTTATGACTATCCAGCAAAGTCCAGGCAGCAAAGCAACGTTCCCTTCAACTTGTATCAAGTTTGTTATTTTGACATACCAAATCCTTATTTCTAAGTAGTGAGAAATCTGAGAATAAAGATTTCTTAAATAGAATAAAAGTATCAAATCACTCGTGATTAGCAAAGTTTTTTTTTCTTTTTCTTTTTTTTTTTTTGAGACAGAGTCTCACTATGCCGCCTTTGGTAGAGTGCTGTAGCATCACAGCTCACAGCAACCTCCAACTCCTGGGCTCAAGCAATTCTCTTGCCTCAGCCTCCTAAGTAGCTGGGACTACAAGCGCCCATTTTCAAACGCCCAGCTATTTTCTTATTGCAGTTGTCACTGTTGTTTAGCTGGCCCAGGCTGGGTTCCAACCCGCTAGCACAGGTGCATGTACAGGCTCTGAGCCTAAGCAAAGATTTTTAAAAAAAATTTTTTTTTGAAGTTTTACAAAGGATGAAGGGTAGTGTTTACTCGTTTTACAGAAATTTTAAGTAGAACATCAGTGAATCAAATAAACATCCTTAAACATGATGAACCGGATGGAGGTTATTACTCACTTGATTATTTTAACCTCCAACTAATTTGTAAACACCAGTCGTTGTGCAGGTATTTTAATAACAGGCCAGCCTGATGAGGGGAACAGCCTCCTAGACTGACACCTGCTACCTCTCTGAACTGTGTGTGGAAGTTTTCTGACTAACTCATTATAATTCAGGCATTTCCCCACATCTCAACAAAAACACCTCAAAAAACAAGCAGACAGAAAAGAAACCAAGGCCAGACCCAGACCCCCTGGTGGCCAGGAGGGTCAAATCCAAGAACCAGCCTCTTCAACTCAGCTTCCGAAGCAGCACTGGCAACACTAACTTAGCTGTTGAAACGAAGCAATAAGACACATTTTCAGCCAGCAGGGTAACTCTCAGTTCCTCAAGGTTATCAACCGATTCAGAACAGTTTCATACTTCTTCAAAAAAGAAAAACTACCAGGCTGGGCGCAGCATGGAGCCCCGCCTCCCGCCCAGGGATTTTCCCTGCGTTCCTGGGCGGCCAGGTGGGCGCAGGGTCAGACCCTCCACCCCCGCCGGCCTCACCCTCCGACCAGCTTCGGAACAACCTGCGGCGAAGGGCAGGAGAGGGAGACGCAGTGGCTACCTCTCAAAACTGGGGGAGGGCTTTCTCAAGAATCAGAACTGTGGGTAAACTTTAGTGAAAATCACCGCAGTCAAGTCTCGAGAACTGGAGTCTTAGATCCTATTTGAAGGAGGTTCTAAGTTAACAAGAGCCCAGCAGTGACAGCCCCGATACGCTGCCGCCCCAGGCCCGGTTACTCACTCTTCGCCCGGCGTCCCGCACACCTGCACCCCGCGCACCTGCGGAAGAGGAAGCGCCGCGCGGCTCCGCCTCCGGGCGGGGCGCACGCCAGGTGCGCACAAGAGGCAGGTGCGGGGGAGGCGAGCAGCTTCCGCGTTCGAAGCGCAGCACCACTTCACTTACCTGGCGGCACAAACACCACCAGCCCCCGGAGGAAGGTAGCACCCCACCTCCTCGCTCTCTTTTTAAATGAGTAAATCAAACCCACTAGCCCACGGCAGGTGGCTGCTTGCAGAGGCCTCGAATTGGACACCTCGGCCCTTGTCGGACGCAGTTGCCCGCTGCACTGCACCTACACAGCCCCACGTGCGCTTGGGTCAGGCCCCGCCCCCTCTAGGGCCAGAACTGATTGTCTCCGCGGGCTCTTTGAGGCTGACTGCGCAGACGCCGGCCCCCCTCCACGCCCCGGAGGCACTGGAGCCAGACTGCGCAGGCGCGAGCGGAGTTTGTGCGGGGGTGGAGGACTGCTATGCGCGTGCGCGGGGGCCGCGCTATTGGGACGCGATTTTCCGGCGCCTGTGCGCGGGAAGATGGCGGAGGCGGTACCCAAGTCAGTGCTGTTCGTGTGTCTGGGTAAGTTGGCTCCGGCTAAACCCGCCCTGACTTTCTCTGGAGGACTTGGGACCGCCTCTGCACTGTGGACTGCGCCGTTAGGCATGGAACGTGAGCGAGAAGAGGTCGAGGACCAGGAGGCCTGGGTGGGCGACCCGACGCCTCTCTGGCCTGCGCCCCTCCCGCCTCTCGCCCCGCCCCCTCTCCCGCCCCACCACTCCTCTTGCCCGCCTCCTCTCCTCCTCTCTCGGGTCCCCTCTCCTGCTCCTCTATTCCTCCGCCTCGGCTGCCCCTCTAGTCAATCCTGCCCAGCCCGCTCCACTCTGGTCCACTGGTATTTGCAGCCACCGACCCTCCAAGCCAGGGTTCTTCCGATGGTGGCGGGGTAGGCCTGGGGCTACCGGATTGATAAGCTCTCTTGGGGACCTGCTGAGACCCATGATGACGTTGCCTTTCTTATTATTTTCATTAGCCGCGGACTCAAACTTGGAACCGATCTAAAGGGATTTTAAATGCTATGGTTTAGAGTTTCTTGTTGTAAAAAGCAAGACTGGGAGAACTTGGTTCTCCAGGTCATTATGTGATCTCTGTCAACATGAAAAATATTTATTTTTTTAAACAATTCTTTAAGTACCTTCCAGCTCAGATTTTCTCTCCTCGAATTTTAGTACTTAGGTCTCCTTACATAAAGTAGAATTTACTGTCTCTTTAGTGTCTAGGCCCCTAGGAATCCTCCTGTGGTGTAGCACTCACTACTCAGTTACATTCTGCAGTGCCTCCACACTAAGAGGCGCGGCCTAGGTTGGCAGTAGTGCAGTTCTTGACATTTCCAGTGAGTTCGCATTTCCTGCAGAGGAGCCCACCAGAACCTACCTGTTATATCTCCTTTACTTTTTCTGGCCCAAATGCTCCAGACACTACCTTCTAGAACCTTTTATTGTTGTTAGAGGGTTGATGCGTTTATGTTATTGGGTGCCTATTTTGCCTGGCAAGCCTATTATTATATTTTGTAAGGTCCAACCTAAATATTTCCTTCTTTGGTTTCCCAGACCACTAGTTATTTCTTGTGAACCCCTTAAGACATCTTTTATTACACAAATTTTAATTATTTGATGGCCTGTGGAGATCCCAGCTAGATTATATTTTCTTGAGGGAATAATTGTGGCTTATTTTTTATTGTATTTCCAGCTTTGAGATAATATATGACAGATGCTCACTAGGCATTTGTCGTAGCTCATTTTTATGAGTGAAGTAGAAGGCTCACCTTGTTTCACTTTGATAGGCATTTTATTTTTAGGAGCTTAATTGAAGGCTCATTGATGAAATCCACAAGTTCATTAAGCAATAGTTCACTTTCAGATTTGGTACCAAATAGCATCTCCTGTATGCCAGGTTACTACTCTTAAGTAGGGATACATTTATATCTAGAGATATAAATGGCAGTGAGTAAACAGGCAGAAATTTCAGGCTCTCTAGCTCTCATATTCTCTCTTAGTCAATGGTAAGTAGTCATTGTGCTCAGTTGGCTGGTTTGAAATACTAAGGAGAGCAGGAAAAGGGGTTGGGAATGGAGGTCAGTTTTGAGTAGGATGGTCAGTCAGGCAAGGTCCCACCTGGAAGGTGACCTTTGAGCAAACTTAAAGGACTCAGGAAGCAAGCCTGGGGTTATTTTGGAGAAACTGTGGTGCAGAGAAAAGCAGGTAAATTTTTGAGGGAGAGCAGTGGCCACACTTAAGAACTACATGGAAGCCACAGGGGTAGGACGTAGTGACCAGGTAGTTTTGTTCAGTCAGGGGCCTCATCTGTCCCTGCAGAGTCAGAGCAGAAAATTTGAGTGACTGTTTTCTCATTTCCCACATTCTAGATATCTGTACAGGGAGAAGTTAATTCTTTATATACAATGGATGGTTTTGGACAGGAGTCTGCAAACACTGGTTAAAAAGCCAGAGAATACATACCTGACACTTGTGGGTCACACCAAAGCTGTAAGTAGGGCAAAAGCAGTCCTGAACAGTACATAAACAATTAAGTTCAGGTCTGTTCCAGTAGACCATATTTGTGGACACCAGAATTGGAACTTCATATAATTTTTCCGTCAGAACTTTTGAGTTTTTTCTTGCTACTCAGCAATGTAAAAATGACTCTTAGCATTATAGGCTGTACACAGAGGTGGAGGTGGTGGGCCACAAGGTGTTTTGAGTCCAGATCTTGGGAGGCCATGTGAAGCCTTGGGCTTACTCTGAATGAGATAAGCCATTGGAGGGTTTTGAGCAGAGGTAGGAAGTAATCTAAGATTAAAAAGAAGTTTTCCAGCTGTTATGTTGTGATTAGGCTGAAATTTGGCATGCCCTTTCTAGGGTAAGGTATTGATAATTGCATTCTGGGGAGATTAGATATAGATAAAAGCCATTTCACGTGATAGCCATACACAGGACAGTAAGAACTGTATGTTTTTGAAATACAAAAATTTTATTCCTTCACAGTATTTATTCAAATCCTTTTGAGACTGAAGTATAGAAAGCATGAATGGCTCTTCATTGGTAAGGCTGGTGGCAGAAAAGAACTGAGCTCCATGTTTCAGCAAGAGGACTGGGAGTGCCTTATGTTTTATAAGGTAGAAATTAGTTGGAGAATGTGGTCTGGGGCTGTGCTCCAGTCTCCTTAGTGGTGCCACTTGCTGCTGGGTGCTGGGGTCCCTCACCAAGTAAAGCAGAGACAGCTTCTGTTCTTAGCTTAACTGTTGTCTTGGTGAGTCTCCATCCTTGAAATGAAGGTGTTAAGGAAGGATACATAATAGGCTGCCTGATTTGGAAAAAGCAGGCTTGAGACTTCACAGATTGAAGCTTTTGTATAAATCTGAAGATGGCATTTATAGTTTTTGGAGCTTACTCCGTAGGTAGAACCTGAAGTACCTGTGATTAGTGATGTCGCATGTGCTCTAATCTTTAATAGCACGCTAATTTGGGGATGTCACCTTTTGAAATCAAGAGGGTGAAGTATTCGCCTTTCAGAAAGTAGATAATCAAGTATTTGATTAATAATCAATAATCAAGTTTTTGTATTGTGGCAAACTGAGCTATTATTTTTCAGCTAATGGTGATTATTTATAAGGAGTGGAGCTAGTCTTTTTATTATGTCTTTAGATGCTGCGATATTAGGCATCTGTTATTTTTTCTAGACTTCCAAATTATAACTGTCTTAATTTTGAAATAAAGTGTTTGCTATTAAAAGTATTTTCAAGGTATCTAAGGTATATGATGACAAGTAAAAAAATTCCACACCCATATGGGAGCCTTTCAGTAATTACAGTGGTGTTGAAGGTAATACCTGTTTAAAAAACTAAACAATTTAGAATGTGGAAAAGAAAAACTTCACACAAATTAGCTTATAGAGGACATCTGAGGTTTGTCTTCTCTTCCCTCGTGACATAGATAAACTTTTATAGATAAAACTTTTATCTATAAAAGTTTATAGATAAACTTTTTGCTACTGTGAAAACCACAACCTGTGTAGAAAAGAAGTCCAATGTCTGCTTAGGTCTTATGATGTAGGATGTATCAGCTGGTTTCATGGCCTAGGGAGTCCTGGTGATTCACACTAGAAGATTCTAATTCTACATGCTTACCATAAACTAGAAGATTCTAAAATTAATACAGAGTAAAATCTCACATCTGTTTAGCAGTTTCTCTTTTTCCTTTCTTCACTTTTCTATCCTTAATTCAGTTCCTAATGTTTGAGTTTGGAACGTTGCACCCCAAAGTGTGGCATTTGGTGTGCTGTGTGCTTTGACCTAAAGGAAGTTGGTCGGCCTCAGAGCACACCAGTGCAAGGTTTTGCCACCTTCCTGTCTCCTATACCTCTTTTTCCCCAGGAAGCAATTCATAGAAACCAGAATTCCTCTTACCCAAGATGGATCAGCCATAAAACCTGAAAAGGGCCCTGTCTCCCTTCTCCCAACCTGCCTTGTATCCTGGAAAAAGGTGCACTGCACAGAGAGGCCAGAAGCGTGGGCAGGCTTTGCTGTGCCCCTCTCACCTCACGGTAGATCAGTCTTTGTGTAGTCAGTCCTGCATGATTGTCTCTTGTTACCGAGCCTGAGCATAAAATTGGCTTTCCCTGCGTCATCTTTCTGAAAGCTCCTATGTCACAAAAAACTTGAGTTGAATAAGTTTGTCTTGCTTTTCTTTTATTAACCTGGCTATGTCATAGGAGTGCCAGTATGGCCCTTGCAGTGTGTGAGACGGTCTCACATTTTTATACCTCTGCGCTCTTACTTACTATTTGTTTCGTGGTAGCCCCAGGTGGTCTCTGCTTCTGTCTAGTGGACTTCATGTCTCTTGACCCTGCTGGCTGTCTACCCTTCTTAAAGGAAGGGTCTGTGTCCTGAGCAACTCTTTATCTTCAGGCATGGCACAGCGCTTGGCTCATGAATAGCAAGCAGGCATACAAGACAAGTTTGTTGAATAAATAGCATTATCCTTTCCTCAAAACCTTTGGTTTCTTCCCACTGTAGTTACACTGAGTCCAAGTCCTTGCCCAGTGTTGTAGGGCTCCTATATACTAGCTTCAGCTCACATTCTCAGCTTCACCAGCTTGAGCCTACAGTCCTCAGTGCCTTCCCTTCTTCTGCCTGTCAAGAGCCGCCTCGTCCTTGGCTGGGCGTGGTGGCTCACACTTGTAATCCTAGCACTCTGGGAGGCCAAGGTGGGTGGGTTGCGTGATTTCAGGTGTTCAGGACCAGCCTGAATAAGAGCAAGACCACGTCTCTACTACAAAAACAAAAAATAGAAAAACCTATCTTGGCATCATGGCAGGCATCCGTAGTCCCAGCTATTTGGAGGCTGAGGCAAGAGAATCACCTGAGCCCAGGCATTTGAGGTTGCTGTGAGCTATGACAATGCCATGACACTGTACTCAGGATACAGAATAAGACTCAAGATTCTGTCTCCAAAAAAAAAAAAAACCAAAAACTTCCTCATCCTTAAAACTTGTATGTGGATTTTTTTCAAGTAAATTTCTAGTAAGAAATTTTATTTTGTTTTTGCTCTGTGAATTTTTTTTGTGTTCCTGAACTGTATTGCTTATTAGCATTTATTCTCTGTATTTTATTATAGCTGACTGTTAACTCCTCTAAGTACATTGCTTGGCACATGATAGCTCTATTTTGGGAGGAGAATTTATGTTCTTTATCTTTTTCCCTTTTGTAGTAAGGAATTTGGTCCTTGTCCTAGATCTTGGGATGTCACCTACATGCCTTGAAGGTTCAGGAGTGCTGGTGGTGCCTTTGTTACTCCTAGTGCCAGCATGGTCTGTGTAAAGGAGATGGCTTGGGAGGAGGAGCCAGGAGATGGAGCCTGGCCCAGTCTGTCCTGCCCCCATAATTAAACCCCAATAGAGACCCTTCTGATGAGCTTCCTGGCAGGTGGTACTCTTGACTGGAGGAGGGCAAGGGAGCTTCCTATTAGGTACTTGGCTGTAGTGCACCCATGGAGCTCTTCCTTGGGCTGGTTTTTATTGTGTTATTGTTACTATAAAATTATAATTACAAGCGCAGTGCTTTCCTGAATTTTGTGAGGCATTATAGAGAATTATCAAACCTGAAGTAGTAGGGGACCCCCAAGGTTTTTGCCTTCAGGTCTGAAGTGAGGGTGGCCATTGGGACCCCTGACTTTGCAGCTGGTGTCAGAGATCTTAGGCAGATGTGATGGTCTGAGACATGTCCTTAACCTCAGTTTGCCTAACTCTTTGGCCAGGCATGGGGCTTTGACAGAGGCACTGATTGCTCAGTGAGAGTTTGTGTTGAATCAGTATTTATACCTAAATACATTGTTTATATATTATTTTATGAAACAATACTCATTCTTTTGTGTGATATTCTTAAAAATATGCACAGTTGACCCTTGAACTGTGTGGGTTTGAACTGCAAGGATTCATTTGTACATGGATTTTTCTCAAGCAAATGAAGATTAAAAATATGATTATTTGTGGGATGAGAAGCCTCTATATATGGAGGACTCACTCTTCCTATATGCAGTTCTTCAGGGCCAACTTGTGGGTTTACATGTTGTGTGTATTTGGTATGGTGTCCTGGAACCAGTTCCCCAAGTATTTTATTGTATTTATTTCAGAATAAGCTAGTTGCTACCCACTTTACTGATTGCATGATTTCATTCTAGGTCATTAGTAGCAACCTAAAAAACAGCTGTTTTGCTTAAGATGGTTTTTCTGATGTCTCTGTCATTTATATAGTCTGAGTACTTGGATGGGTGATATCAAATCACTGACTGTGGGCTGACTGGCTCTCCCATCAGAGCCTGCCATGCTCTGGCTGGACTGTGTCAGGCAAGAGTGCTGCCCGTGGTTTCTCCTTGGGGACAGCACAGCCTATGTGTGCTGAGTGTGTGGAGTGGTTTACAAAGTTGGCATCTGCCCTCTCATAAAACCTAATCTTCTCTTTCTGCCCCTCTTTTTTTTTAAGGTAACATTTGTCGGTCACCCATTGCAGAAGCTGTTTTTAGGAAACTTGTAACTGATGAAAATGTTTCAGAGAATGTAAGTACCACTCCTTACCTTAGGCCAACCTGAATGCCTCTGGGCAGGGAATTGCCAAAACCATTCCTTTCTCTCCCTGCAGTGGAGGATAGACAGCGCAGCGACATCGGGGTATGAGATAGGGAACCCCCCTGACTACCGGGGGCAGAGCTGCATGAGGAGGCACGGCATTACCATGAACCACGTTGCCCGGCAGGTACCGTTCTTGGACTTGAGACATGTGTTTTGTGTTTCAGTGGGTCATTGACAGCGGCGCTGTTTCTGACTGGAACGTGGGCCGGGCCCCAGACTCCAGAGCTGTGAACTGCCTGAGAAATCATGGCATTCACACAGCCCATAAAGCAAGACAGGTAGACAAGATCTTGTTTAATTTCTACTATGTAGAGTCCTATAATTTGAGAAGTTGTGAGGGGCTTATCCAGACTTACATACTAATGGAATGCCTAGTTAGGGTGAGCTCAACCAGCTGTAGCCCATTGTATCACTTCTGGTTGCACAGTACTAACAGACTAGCATGATTTTGGAATTTACTTATTAAGGTGGCATGTAAAAGTTACATAATTTATAAGGAGAGACCCTGGTTGGCAGCTGCAGCTGAGTGGTTCTCTGCATCTTGTTTCTTCTATGTGATTTTTAGGTATACATTTAGGCCATGGTGATTATTCTGCTGATATTACAAGTTTGTTGCTAGAATAAAGTTATACAATATATATACAAAACATTGTTTCAATGTAAAGTGCCTTAGAAACACAGGGTAATACTAATATCATGGACACATTACAGTCTGTTATGCCACACTTAAGTGTAAAGTTTAATAAAATCATCAACAGACACTATAATTTCCAATGAAGATAGCCTTATATTATACATTAGAAGATGCAGTTGATTTTCTAAGAGTTCTTTATAAGTACTTACGGACTGACCCTTTCTGAAATAGAATTTTCATTGGGTGGAAGAGTGAACTTTCTAAAGTTTTATACAGGTTTATTGCACCCAAATAAACATTTGCAATAATACACTTTTTACCTCTTTATAAATACCAATACTGAAATTATATTACTAAAAGGCCAAGCATGTGGAATTTATACACTATTAAGTACATAATTATAGTATGCTATCTAGCAAAATATATCCTGCTCAAAATGTGAAGTTGGAAAAATAATTACAAGACTCAATCATGATCTGTAAACAAATTTTCAGAAGTTTCTTAGTGTATATTCAAATATCCTCAAATACATCATTGATACTAAAATAGTGCAAGAAGGTATTTATATCCCAGTTTGCCTAGATAACCCATGGGCATAAGATACCTTTTGGCATAGCAGATATTAGATAAGTAATTAATTGTTTATTTTATAAAAACACATTAAGCTGATTATAAAGACAGAATGCTAAAGATAAAATTCATTTCTTAACAATACTCAACAGGTTTATAATTTTTAATCACAAATATGAGATGAAATTAAAGATACTTCTAAATAAAATATTTAGCCAATTATAGAGTTACCCTCAGGTAACTTAAAAGTTAAAAATGCTATTTATAGTTTTACAGACTATAACACAAAAAGGTATAATTTAACAAAAGTCTTATGTGATAGTTAAATATGGAATTAAGTTTCATTACTCACTGTTAAATTAGGATGTACAATGTTTTAAATATCATTAGCCTTTTTGTAATATTTGAGGCCTCGTGGTTTGTAGGAAAACAAATAGTAACACATGTAAATGAGGAATCAGAGCATTTTAAAAAAGAATAAAATTTTAAATGCTTTCATAATATGGTTGTGATGATACACCATAAAATTCCTAACCAATAATATCATTTGTCTCTTCATGTCTCTTCATATTTTTTCATACCTTGCCAGTTTCTACTTGCCATTCAAAGAATATAGATTTATTTTGAGTAATCTTTCAGAATTACAAGCACTCATCCTTTCAAGTTTTATGTTGTTATGGTCAGATTATTTTTCACATACAAAGTATATAACAAAATGGATGCAAATGAAGTATTTTAAATGCCTATGCCTTATAAAAGCAAAGTCAGAAACTTTCTTTCAGGAGTAGTTTTAATAACAGATTGGAAATAGCATTTGCACAGAATCTGATTGTTGCACTTTTCTTTTCCCTGTTGCTTTCTTTTAAGAAAATTTTCTCAGCAATGTTATTTTAAGAAATTTTGAAATACTAATAAGGTATGGTTTCTAAATCAGTCTCTCATCAGATCTTTGTCATGTTTATAAGTTCTTTTTCTTTACTGATTATCATAATTTGTGTAATAACTACTCGTACTTGTTTCTTAAAATCTTAATTTTCCCAGTACTCGCAGCCAAGATTTAATACATTTTTTTAGGGTGTTTATTTTTTTTTTACTCTTGTAGTCAGTCTCTCGAGTTTGTGAGCTCTCAGTCCAGTTAGTTAGATAGAAATTTTTGCCTTATTATGCTTTCTTTTCTTTTTTCAATAAACTTTTCATTGTCTTGTGCATAGAGGTCCTTTGACAGCTAGCTACTCTTTACTCCTTTGGAGATCAACACCAAAAATTCATTCTATCTTACTAACATTATAGAAGTGGAATTACAGTATGTACTCTTTTCGGTCAGCTTCTTTGGCTTGTCATATTATCCATGTTGTTCCTTGTAACAATAGTTCGTCATTGTTGTTCCCGGGCAGTGGATCATTTCACAATCTCTGTATCTGATCTACTCTTTTTTTTTTTTGAGACAGAATTTCACTTTGTCACCCTGGGTAGAATGCCGTGGCATCACAGCTCAGCAACCTAAAACTCTTGGGCTTATGTGATTCTCTTGCTTCAGCTTCCCAAGTAGCTGGGACTACAGGTGCCTGCCACAACGCCCAGCTATTTTTTGTTGTTGTTGCAGTTGTCATTGTTGTTTTTAGCTGGCCCCGGGGCGGGTTTGAACCTGCCAGCCTCAGTGTATATGGCTGGCACCCTACCCACTGAGCTATGGGTGCCGCCTGTCCAATCTACTCTTGATTGACATGTGGGTTGTTTCTAGCTTGGGGCTACCCAGAGAGTGCTGCTGTGGGTAAAGGGGTACACCTATTTGTGGTTCTGTTGGGTGCCCAGCATTAGACATGGCCTGTCAGGGTTGGCAGCCTCATAAAGTACATTGGGAATATTCCTTCTTTTTCTGTCCTCTAAAAAAGTTTGCTGAAGAATGGTAGTTATTTCCACTTACCACTCAGAAAAATCATTTAATCAGTTTCTTTTTGTTGTCTACCATTTTCTCTGGCTGTCTTTAAGGGGGTTTTTTGCTACTTAGTTTTTAGCAGTTTTAGTATGATAGGCCAAAATTTAATTCTTGAATCCGTGGCTTCGTGTTTCTTGTCAGTTTTGGAAAATTCTGAGCTGTTAACTTTTCATATTTTACTTTTCTTTCTCTTTTCCTCGAGATTCACCTTGTGTATATATTAAACATTTCATGTGTCCTTTTTTTTTTATTTTCCACCCTTTTTACTTTATTCTTCAGTCTGAGATTTGCTGCTGACCTGTTTTTTCATCCTTCTCCTGTTTTTAAGCCTATATGCATATACTGAGTCTGTAATTTTTTTTACTTAGGTATTGTTTGATTTTTCTGGTGAAATTTCATGTCTTGCCTTATATTAGACCATCACAGTTATTTTAAGGGATAGCTCTGACATCTGGGTCATCTGAGAATCTGCTTTTCTGTCCTGGAACTTTTGAGAGAGTTTCTGGCTCACAAAGCC